TTTTCACCGTTTCTTGCCGTTTTCGTTTACAATTTGCTTACAGTTAACATAGTTCTTTGCTTAGGCTCGTGAACTGCGCAAGAAGTGGCGAGACAAAGGAACACTCTGAGTCAAAGTAACGTTTTGTTCATGATTTATTTTGGTTTATTTTGCTGCCAAGAATTATTTTTATCTTTAGATGATTTAGATAAAAACATACAGTAAAAACTTTGAGATCATGCAGAAAATGCAAAAATAACATGCATATACAGAATGGGCTGATTCGGCGCTGAAATGAATGTTTTCCAGTCATTTTTGGTGCGGCGCTGAAATGAACGCGCGCTAAAATGATTGGCGCTGAAATGATTGGCGCTGAAATGATTGGCGCTCAATTTTTGGCGCTCATTTGACTACCTCCCATTTTGAGTGCTCTTTTTATCTATGAAATATTAACTTAAGTTAAACAATCCGCTTTTTTTTTGATAGAAAGTTAGTGAAAAAGCCGTATTTTTTAGTTTACATATTTCTCTTTTTGCAAAGGATTTTCATTAAAAAAGAAACTTTGAAAATAAGTGTATCCTTATCTTCAATTTCTTTCACTAAACCGTGTCCCCTTTCCCCTTTCTACCGTAATCTTATCTCTACTTTTTCCATCGAATCCATCCACATTTTCGCTCGAATTCTGAGCGAGGTTCACAAAGGATACAAAAGTGAATAAATTCGATAAAAAATAGAGACAATACTAGGAGTTCAAACGTCGTATCCGTACGTAAAACAAAAACTTGTAAATGTAGAGCAAAAAGTGTGAAAATTACCTTTTCCACGCGCTGTTGTTATTGTCTTCTCGTAGTTTTCTTCGTGAATGCCATGACAGGCGCACAGGTGTTGCTTTTTCTTGTACATATCTAAAAATTAGTATTTTATAACAAATATTAGTAAAGTTAGAGAAAAAGCACGAAAAAAACTGCTAAAAGTATCTGTTTCACTCTTGTGATTCCCTTTAGGGTTTTTGCACAGCTGTTTTGGCGACATGTTCTTTTTAACCTAAAGAAAAAACAGTTATTTGTGTAAAGAAAGTTTTAAAAGCTGTAAAAAACGACAAAAAGAGGTAGGGGGACACCTATTCTCTATGTTAAATCAAGGAAAAAGTGGTAAAAACTAGTATTTTTTTTAAAATTGCATGTCTCTAGTGTATATCTAATAGAAAAACAAAAAAAACGCGATGCTTTAGCTAAGATTTAGGCAAAAGATAAAAATTATCGAAAAAACACTACTAACTAATAAATAACACTAACAACACTACACTATTTTACTTTAAATTAATAAAATAAATATTAGGTTGTCCAATAAGTAATGCGTGTTACTTATTTCGAAACTATTGCGAAATCGCTTCGAGCAAATATATGCTCTTTTTAATCTGATGATTCTTGTGTTTATTTTTATATATTATTTTATTCATTTGCCTTTGTTTTATAATAGATATGTTGTTTTGCAGATGAAAGACAAAAAGTTTGTTGTCCGCGCATCAATGCTGTATGATTTCAAACGAGGTAAAACTGCAGCGGATTGCCATCGAACTATCTGTGCCGCATTTGGAGAGGATTCAATTTCAATCAGCCAGTGCCAGCGCTGGTTTAAACGATTTGCGGACGGAAACGAGTCAAAAGTGTTGACGAGGTGCAAAAATGGCTCGACGATTTCTTCTCATCGAAACCAGCTTCATTCTATTATGACGGACTTCACTCTTTGCTCGGACGATGGAGAAATGTTGTTGATTGTTGTGGAGAATATATCGATTAATAAAGTTCTCTTTTGTCAATTTTGTGATATTTTGAAAATCGTGTCAAAACACGCATTACTTATTGGACAACCTAATAGTTAGAAGACAGTTTAGGGAAATGGATTAGTGCAAAGAATTTTAGGCAACGATTGACGCTTATAGGACTTTAGGCTTATTAAACTATTTGAAACATTTATTTTTTTTCCTCAATTTAATTGCGGTTATTTTAAAAACTGTCAAATCTTTGTATTGTATTAAAGAAATATTAAGATTTGATTGTTAAATCTTTCAAAAAAAAACTGTTTTCAGACGATTACCTGCGATGCAGATGTGGAATTTTGCTGGAAACGCTTTGAAAAGGGGAAAACTGATGAAAGGAGGTGAATTTTACTAGAAAATACTAGATTTGAAAAAATTGAATTAAAAAAAATTTTCAAACCTTTCAAAATCCTATTCCTTTTGGATTCAGTCTATTGAATTTGCCAAACTAAATTTCCAGTAGTACTTTACATTTCCAAGTGCTTTACAACTTATCGCTTTCTCGTGTTTATCGATTGGTTCATTCGTTTAATTAAATCTATGTAAATTTTATCAATTTTCTATCAATTTTAAATTCATTCATAAATTGGAAATCGCTTTTTGAAGTATTTCCATTCATCTACAGCTTTTTAATATATCTGTCGTAGCCGTTTACGAAATTCAGCCTTTAACGAATGATTCGTTAGCGGCTGAATTTCGTAAACGGCTACGAGGCAGCGACACCACGACTGCCGCGTCACAATGACAGACAGCGACACCACCACGGCCGTGTCACAATGCGACAGCGACACCACCATGCCGTGTCACAAGCGCAGCGACACCACACTGCCGTGTCACAATGACAAGCGACACCACCACTGCCGTGTCACAATGACAGACAGCGATACCACCACTGCCGTGTCACAATGACAGACAGCGACACCACCACTGCCGCGTCACAATGACAGACAGCGACACCACCACTGCCGTGTCACAATGACAGACAGCGACACCACCACTGCCGCGTCACAATGACAGACAGTGACATCACTACTGCCGCGTCACAATGACAGACAGCGACACCACTACTGCCGCGTCACAAAAAACCTAAATTGATCAGTAGTTAATGTTCAATTAAAACAGCCTTTTCCAATCACATTTCCAGCGCACATCAATCAGTCGTTCAAATTTTAAACTTACTAATTCAAAGCATCAATGCTTACTCGCTTTTAGCAATTCGTCGAATCCTTTTTGGTAGTACTGGCTGCATTTCCAGGTTGTTTTCGGACATTTGACGCCCCGCCTCTTTCCTCATTAACAATCTAACTTTGAGCTCAAATTTCTTGGTGTTCGGCCGTCCAATTTAGCTTTCCCTGGTATGATTAGATGCGCCAAATCTTTCTCTGTCGATTGGCACAAAAACTGGTCAAGTTAGAGGTCAAAAATCAGTTCCTATAAGGCTTCTTTCAATGCCTCGAAATATAACTTGTGGTGTAGTGGATAAAGCCTTTGTTTCCGAAACAAACTATCAAATTTTTGCTCGAGTTCGATCCCTTCCTTTTCTTTTCTTTTGATTTTGATATTTAACTGCTTGAATTAGCTCTATTATGACTTTTAATTGATAAACAATTGAGATGTGCTCGTGCGGGTGAATGCGTGCAGAGTGATTGCCAAAAAACGGACACGACAACCGTTTGCTGTTGTAATACGATTCTTTGCAATTCAAAGCAGCCGAGAAATCCATTTAACATGCAAATTGTATTGTTTACGATTGTTGCTTTGCTTTGCTATGCACAATAAATTTCTATTTTTGAAAAGAGATTAGTTTAAAGCGAAAAAGACGGGTTTCTAACTAGGGAATGTTGTTAAATTATCATGGCTTTTTGAGATAGCCTATCTGATGCGGTTTTTCGCGCTGATTCCGAATCTCCCATCAGTTTTTGCCAAACGCTTCTCTATCGCGAGACCTTTGGCATACAAGTTTTTGGGGTCTCTTTATGAGGCGACACACTGTCGTCAGTCAACGGCCTCGGTGGTGTAGTGGTTAGTGCGCGCGGCTGCCAGGCGTATGCCCTTTTGGACCCCGAGGACTCGAGTCCTCTGTCTATATAAGGCAACCTTTCTTTTACTCTTTTTCGCCCATTTTATGGGCACAAACCTACACAATTTAAACAAACAGGAACGGGTTTGGCTTTATAGGAAACAATAAAACTTTAAAAAACAAAATTTTTATAGAAAGGACTCGCACCCTCGGGGTCCAAAAGGCCATACGCCCGGTAGAGGCGTATGCTCCCCTTATGGCGTATGCCTTAAGCCTAAGCCTACGCCTAAGCCTGAGCCACTACACCACCAAGGCCTTTGACTGAAGACAGTGCGTTGCCCTCATAAAGAGACCCCAAAAACTTGTATGCCAAATATCTCGCGATAGAGAAGCGTTTGGCAAAAAATGATTGGAGATTCGGAATCAGCTTGAAAAACTGCATCAGATAGGCTGTTTCCCCGAGTCAAAAGCCACGATAAGTTAGCAAATTTTCCAAGTTAGATGGGCTGGCCAGAAGGACAGACGAAGATGGACGATACGGATCCCAGAGTGGTTGCCATGAGACCAGACCAGATTCCCCAGTAAGTTTTCGCAAAATTTCTTTGTATGATACATTACAAAATCATACAAATATGAAGTAAATATAAAGTAAATTTTCAGCTGCAAATGCTTTCAAAGTGATTTTATTTTATCAAAAAACAACTATTAAACAAAAAACTTTTCTTAAATGAAACAAAACTTGAAACAAACTTTTTGCAAATCGCAAATTTCCAATTGAAAACTGTTATTTTAAGTCAAAATCTAGTGTTTCGATTGGTTTTTTGTCTTTTTTTTATTCAAATTTTATATTTCTGTTTTCTGTGTTATTTTTTTAACGTCCCAGTATCCTCATTTCTTTTTCATTTCATCAACAAAACATCAAATTTATTTCTTTCTTTTTCCCACATCAAAAAACCATTCATCGTAATTTCCCTCATCATTTCTTGTTCAAAAAAAAAGAAAATTTTACAAAATTCGCCATCACTCACACCCCTCACAACCGGTAAACGAAAAATAAGATAAAAGATTGAAAAAAATTACATAAAAAGTGAGATCATTAAAGGTGAAAAAAAGGAAGTTTCAAAAAAAAGCAAAATGAGAATAAAAATTGAAAATCAAAGCCAAAAAAAAATTTCGTTTTTATTTTCGTCCCGGTCCGGCCCAACTGCTGAATTTGCTGCCCTGAAACCCAGAAAGATAAAAAAAATGCGATCAGAATTCTCATTTTCAAATCTTTTATTCAATTTATTCAATTCTTTCTTTTGTTTTCCCATCACTCATTTCCCTGGTCCAGCAAAACTGCTGAATTTGTCCTGAAATTGAGAAAAAAAGAGATGGTTTTTCTTTGAACACTTACGGTTTTTTAAAGTGGTTTTACCCTAAAGTCTCGAGTATAAGTTGATCCGAGTATAAGTTCTGCCTTAATTTACATTCGCTTTAATTGCTTTGAATTTCTTTTTGTTGGGTTTTTATACATTTTTATTGTTACCGTAATTACTCTATTAGTGGGGTCCTCTCTAATAGTGGGGTCGTCTGGAGGGGGGTTGAAAAAATAGTGGGGTCCTCTCGAATTGGAGAAGATATTGGTAACGAAAGTGTACACAATTGTGTTTTGGTTTAGTTTTTTTTTACGGTACGGATAAAATATGAAGCCAAACTTGTTTTGTCAGAATTTCGGAGAAAAATTATATCTTTCAATTTAAACTTTGGTTTTTGTTTCCTAATAGGGGGCCTCTCTAGTAGTGGGGTCGTCTGGAGGGGGAAAGGGGGGGACCCACATGAGTAAATACGGTATATAAACTTTTATTATTGTTCTTGGAGCGCGGGATACTACAGGGTGACAGCCTATCACGATTGCTATTTGTTATGTGCATGGATACATCCAGACGATAGTGTTGAAGAAGACGCTGGAAAGAAGACGCTCTTTCGACCGTCGACGTGGACTTTGGCCGGATGAAGAGGCCAGGGAGGGATCCATAAGACTGAGCACCGGAGAGGAGCAGGGCGGACGCGCCGGGCCTAAGCCTAAGCCTAGGCTAAGCCTGAGCCTAAGCCTAAGCCTGAGCCTAAGCCTAAGCCTAGAGGCCAGGAAGGGATCCATAAGACTGAGCACCGGAGAGGAGCAGGACGGACGCGCCGAGCCACGCCCGGAGCAACAAATAACAGCATAAGCAACAAATAACAGCATAAAATTGCTATAACCCTCAATAAATTTACTTCTATTATTGTTCTTAAAAAGCAAAAAAGTTATGCTGCAGCGGGGTTCGAACCCTCGACACACCGCACCGGAGACAGCCGTCAATTTGCATGCGAAAACCAAACAGAACTTATACTCGCGACTTTAGGGTAATGAAATTTACAAAAATCAAAGAAAAGAATGATTTTTCGTCTCTTTTCTTCATGAATTACTCGAGAATTCTCATAAGCCAACCTTCCCTTTCCTCTAAAAGCCCCCAAAGTTTCTTTTTTAACCGAGTTATTAAATCCTGGAACATTTACGAAACTGAATTTAGTGAAATGCTTTAAAATTGTTAAGGGGATTCATCCCGACCCACTTTTTTCTGGTCTCTTTGAATTCGGCTCTCTACGGGCTCTCTCTAAGATATCCTCTCTACGGCTCTAGAAGGAAACCTTTTCTCATACGCCAACCTTCCGTTTCCTCTAAAAGCCCCCAAAGTTTCTTTTTTAACCGAGTTATTAAATCCTGGAACATTTTACCCCCCACATGTTCGTGATATTTCCACCTTGGCTAGATTTAAAGCCGCAATTTTGGCAATTGATTTGCCTGCTCTGTGATTCTTTCTTGAGGTATCTATTTATCTTTTGGGTGTGTTTTGAGTGGTCTCCTGGGTAATTATTGTGATTTTGTTTTGTAAACTGAACTGAACCGTATTGGAACCGTATTGGAACCGTGTTAGATCAAAAAAAGAACCGTATTGGAACCGTAATAGATCAAAAAAAGCTTTTGTAAAGTTTTGTAAACTGAATAAAGCATAGATACGTAAATTGACAAGTTTACTTTGAAAATCGGGTTGTTTCCTTTAAATTTTTGATGATTTTGATCGATTTTTGATTTTTGACAATTTTTTTGAGAATTCCCCTGAAATAAGCTATAAAAAACTCGTTTGTAGCTAAAAAATTTTGTCAAAATGATTCACTAGATAAAAAAAAATTGAGTCAAAGGCTAGAATAGAAATAAAAATAGACGCCAAAACCCCACTAAACAAAGAGCTGTTCAGTTTACATTACTAAACTTGAAACTAGCATATTTCAATAGAACAAAAAATAATATTTTAGTAAAAAGGCTTCTAAAAAGTGTCTCTTTTTCTCTCTTTCTACCGTAATCTTGTCTCTATTTGTATCCGAATTTTATTTACTATTGGATTTGATTTTATTTACTATTGCATTTGATTTTAGATTGTTTTTTTTGGAAAAAGCGTAGAATTTCTCGTACGAAATCGTGTATAAACATTGCTTTGAACAAAAAAAACAAAAACATAATCTAATTTGAAACCTGAGAATTTAAAATTACTAAAAATAACATAGCAAAACTAATTGGGTTTCAAAATGACTAAAAAGGTAGAACGGAAAAAAAGCCGATTTTCGCTGATTTTCAATCATTGTTTTCTAAGCGCTGGTTAATGTTAAAAATGTGTATTATATCTCAAAAGATCACCCTTTTTCTCTACTTTAATTTAATACCTAAACGCGTAGAAACAAATGTACTAGTGTAGAGTTATGAGCGTTTGTTTGAAGAGTAAACTTAGACTACGCGACGCTCCTCTACGGGGCTTCTATTAGAGTATTTATGGTATAAAATTTCTCAGATTCGACAATTCTTTTCGATTTTCTTACCTGTTGTTTCACATAAATAATATCGGATAGATCACATCCTTGTGAAAGGCCAGCATTGATCAGACACGAACGAGAGCGTTTTGGTGGAGCACTTCTGAATCAAAAATTACTACAAACAAAAAGACTCTAAACACTTGCAAACCTATATTTTCTATTCTATTCTATTCTATTCTTTATTTATAAACATAAATCTATAGAAAAATCGATAGAAAAGATGAAACGAAAACTAGTTGAACTTCGTTGAAACTTGCCAACTTTGAAACTTTTGCTTTTCAATATTTTCCAAGAGCTTTGTCTAGAAATTTTAAAGAAAATCGAATATTGTTTGTTAAGAAAACCCAAAACTCCTTTTGAAACACGATTTTGGAGTCAAAAATTGAGAATAGCAAGGCTAAACTATGGCCTGGTTTAAAAATTTCACTCTAAAAACAACCCTGATCTATAGCAATTATAGCAATTACCGTATTTTCTCTAATAGTAGTAAAAACGTAAAAAATAGGTAAAAAATATCTTCAGGTAAAAAATAAGCGATTTCTTTCAGCTAAAGTGACTTGATCACTTTTTGAGTGATCAGCCTTTGGATATCACATCGGTCTGTTATCACACCTTTAGACAGGTTTTTAATGGGTTAATGAATAAGCAATGTGTCTCATTCAAAACCTAAAATCATGTACTTAAAATAGGGGAAATTTGTGATTAAGGCAAGTTTTATCTAATTAAAGTTAAAGCAACTTTTCAGAATCACCTATTACTCAGTGCAAATACTCAGTGCTGAGAAGTTGACACAAAAAAAATGATTTTTTGAAATACAGCTTCTCTGTGAAAGAATTTCTTGGCTAAAAATAGAGATTCTAAAGCGTATTGTTCATTTATGCTAGCTTTATCTCATAAGAATTTGAAACTCGAAACTTTTACAATCAAAAATTTTCCCCTGCAACTCCTAAAAATAACAATAATGAAGCAAAAAAAAGCTCTTTTTCTCGTGCAAAAAGTGAACTGAATTTAAGCTGGAATAATAATAATAGCTTTTCAAGAATCTCTAAAATTTTAAGCAAAAGCTGCACTCATTTTTTTACGAGTAATTTCTTGAAGTCGATTTGTAAATAATAGAACAAAATCATCTTGAATTCGTGGATTCGTTTTTGAAGAAATTCTAGTCAAGTCTTTTTCCGAGAACTCTCTTTCCAACCTTAGCAAAAATATCAGCCAATTTTATGGACGTTTAAATCGAGGATTTGTCTTTCAGCCCGACGACCATCCAATCCCACCCGCTCTCCCGAGTGCCATCAAATTGAGAGATCCCGATGGAAGCAGTATCACACACATTGTTCACGGTTTGTTACTGGTTTACCCTTACAAGGGAAAATCAACTGAGAGAGCTGGCGAAATGCTATGCGACCTATACCATTTGACACAGAATTTGATGTTGTCCAGTTTATCAAAAGATCTGGGAAGAATTCATGGCTTGGCTTTTAAGAAATTGCAGTCAGACTTTTTCCGAGAACTTTCTTTCCAACCTAATCGAAGTATTAAAGTTAATAGTAATACGAAGAATTTGTCAATCTTGAAACTCGAAACATGGATTTTCCTGCTTATCTATCCGTAATAAAAATGATTGTTGTAGAATTAAATTCGCCCGTGTTTCTCCAAGGTTGCCCACATTGAAACATGCATTTTAAAATCTGTTTTTTACAATTTTTTACAATTCTTTACAATCTTTTACAATTTTCAATTCATTTTCAAGTCAATTTTTACGATTCTGCGACTAGGTTTAAGCTTCAATTGAATTGGACTCCATTTGAAATTGAACTCAAATTAAAGCTAAGAAAGCTTCACGAGAATTGTCCAAATTGAAACTCAAATTTCCACGATTTTTTCACTATTTGGAAAATGTTCAAATCTGATTTTATGATGAAGAAAATGAAAGCTATTAGTTTTAAAAAAAGTTGCAAAACTAAAAGCAAAACTAAAAGTTAAAAGCGTGAAGCTAAAAAGTACTAAATCTATCTTTTTACCTGTCGAAACGAGAAGGAAAATAACTGAAAATTGAGCGAGAATTAGTTGGAAGTGATTTTTTTTTATTTTAGTTAAGAGTACATAAAATTTTCGTTTAAAAATGAGTAAACAAAGAGTTTTTGACATTGGCAAGTTGTAATTGAGCTGAAAAGCGTTTCATTCACATTTTTCTTTCCCATTTCACGACTACAAATAACAAAAGCTTCAGTCTGAAAGTTTAACAAAATTTCTTTCTACAGAAGTTGCCGTAGTAGCTGTTGAAATGGCGAGGAATGTAAATGAAATTTTCCTAGCTATTGGATTGATGAATTGAAAACTGCGAGCTATTGTCATATGTGACAGTTTGAGCACTTTCTTCAAAAGAAACCCATTTTGGTTTCAATGGAAAAGTTGTAGAGAATCAAAAATGAAGCTTATATCAAAAACAACTGCCGAGGTGTTCTTTGTGTGCATGCGTAATCGATCGCCATCCGTCAAATTGTTCTGGTATAGAAGGATTCCCTTTTGAACTATTGGATTGGTGAATTGAAAACTGCGGGTTATTGGCATATGTCGCCGTTTGAGCACTTTCTTCAAAAGAAACCCATTTTGGTGTCAATGGAAAAGTTGTAGAGAACCAAAAATGAAGCTTATATCCAAATTTTCAGAACGATTCAAAAACTGGTTTTCAAGGAATGCCAAATTTACAAATTTTCACAAAACTTGCATTTTAAGCGAAACTACTAAGTGTGTCTTTTTGGAACTTTGGCTATAAGCCTCATTTTTGATTCACTACAACTTTTCTATTGACACCAAAACGGGTTTCTTTTGAAGAAAATGCTCAAACTGGGTCACTGGGACATCTCCAGTCCTCCATTTTTGAGTCTCACACTTGTCTCACACACAAACCAAAGTCCTAATACGAAAGAGGAATCCGCAAATTGCCTGTAAAATGGGTAGAAGTCGTCAATAATAATGGAAATTATTTCGAATGAATTGATGGTTTTATGTTGAATAAATTTTAGTTCAAAGTCCGGCAGTTTTCAATTCACCAACCCAATATTATGTAATTGAGCTAAAAACTAAAACTCACAGTTGATAACTCTTGAAGAAATCCTGTTGTGGTCGCGTCTCGAAGAGGGCAGTTTCGTGGGAATTTGAAGGGAATAAGGTGATGAGAAGGAGAGAAGAAAAAACGGGGAAAATGAAGAGGAATCGATGGGGGAAAATCGAGGGGAACATGGCAGAGATCGTTGGGGTACCTGGAAATTCAAGGCCTTTGGTAAGGTGAGCAGAAAAGAAATGAGAAAAAGAGTTTATCGTAATCAGAGCCGGGAATAATCGTGGTGATTTCAGAGTTTCAAAGTTCTTGAGGTCAACGATTGTTCGGGAAATCTATTATGCTATCTAATAATATGCTTTTGAAATGTCAAAAAGGTGAATTCTCTATTATAATCAGATGGCAATTGGCAACAAAAAAAAGGCAATGAAATTGTGCAATGTGCAATGAAATTGGGAGATCAGAAACTTGAGAAAAGTAGTTAGTTTTTTGAATTGTTTAAAGCTTTTGGTTTCAAGATAATGAGAGGAATGACAGCTTGAAGAGTTTTATAATCAAAACAACAACAAACAAGCTTTTCAAGGCCCGATCGATTGGCTATAAGAAAAATTGGGGGTCATTCGAAGTTCCGTGAATAAAAGCTCTATAAATCATCAACAAATTTTCGTTTGAACTATCATAAAATCAAGTTTTAATTGATTTAATTGGCACCAAGTTGAAAACGAGATGAAATAAGTTTATTTTTGATTGTTTTAGAGGCTTCAAAAAGTAACATAACAAAAGACGAGCTTAAAGGAAAACGGAAAAGCTTAAAGCATAAAGCTTAAAGCTTAAAGCTTAAAACATAAAACTTAAAGCTTAAAGCTTAAATAAAGCTTAAAGGAAAAAGTACTAATTTGAAATTTTATTAACCTTTTTTAAAGCATAACTAATAACTAATTAAAATGACTGAAAAGTTCAATGCCTTTACAAATCTTTATGGGGCAAAATCACGAATCTTTATGGAGCAAAAGTATCTCCGTGTCATGTCAGCTATTTATTTATTTATTTATTTACGCATCTTCTAATGACCGTCATTTTTCTTTTAGCCAACCGATCGGCCTAAAAATTGAAATATATAGTGGAAAAGTTGTTAGAAAAATGAAATTATAACAAAGTTTAAGTAATCTAACAAATTTTTCGACTTAATTTGTTTTCTTAAAAGATGCAACACACATTATAGGCCAGTCTGTACACAAAAAAAGAAGACCCGGCTCGATAATTAATACAATGTTTCAAAATACTCGTCTACAATAATCGTTTAGCAAATTTAATAGAGTATTGAATGCTAGAACAAGTTTAAAAACAAGAAAAACAGAAAAAGTCGTTCAATACGATATTTAGCATGAAAATTGAGTAAATCTGACACTTGTGCATTTACTCAAATAATAAAAAACCCCAACAAGGAACTTCTGTTTTCATTTTCTTTTCCTTTTCCTTTTCATCATCTTTCGAAAAGATTTCTCATAGATACATCCATTTTTCTTAGACAACGAACTCAAATACGTAAAAAGATGAGAATAATTGATGAGTAGGCGGCTCAAAATAGTTCAATACGAGTCTAGAATCACTTTTTTAATCAATTTATTTATAATGAAATTTGCTTGTCATTTAAAAAGTAAATCAAATGAAAAAATGGGACTAAAAAAAAGTTCAAGTTTCAAGATTTATTAGATCACAATTGGTTTATTAAACTTAATTATTAGGGCAAGTTACAAATAAAATTTTTTTGAGTAATGTTTGGTAAAAAATTTTCAATGAGGCTTAATTGATTGATGAATTTTGTAAGTTTGAAAAAATCAAGTTTCAAGATTCTTCGAATTGATGACGATTTTTTGCCTCCAGTCTAATACGGATTTCTCCTAATAGCACGTTTTACAAGTACGATTTCTTATCATTTTTATCTGAACTCGAGTAAAAAAATATACAATACGTGGAACAAAGAAGCAATAATCTTGCTAGCGGGATAGAACTCTTGACTCCCGGCTAGGATACAAGACAGATCACTTGCCCATAGCTGCACATCGGATTAGATTTAGCAAAGCAATTTAGCAAAGCAATTTAACAAAGCAATTTAACAAAGCAATTTAGCAAAAAGCAAAAGCTCAAGAGCCGCTAAAGAGCGCAAGAGCCGCTTGAAACTTGATTTAATCGATTGTTTTTCTAAATTGTGAAGAATCGAATTTCAACAAAAAAAAGCCTTTCAAAATCAACTGTTTCAACCTTTTTTTAAGAAAAACCGTAAAGTTTCAACTTTTTCAACTCTCAAGCTATTTATCGATGAAAAATCGCCTCAATATTTTCAAAAGTTTAGTCAATAACAAAGATTTCCTCCGGAATAACCATTAAATTTGAAATATTGAAATCTGTTCAAATCCTGATTCAAATCCGGTAATCTAGACTCTGTCTATGAGAGAATCAAACAAAAAAAACATGATGTAATTGGGTTGAGTGAAATTGTGAAAAAAAAAAACGAATCTGAGTGCTAAAATTAATCACTTTTCAAGGCATTCCCACTATCGAAAAGAAAAGATTCGTAGAAAATTTTGAAACGAAGAAAAAAAAGAACAGGAAAGAAAGGCAAAGAATAGAAATGGAATCGAAAAATCTGGGTGACGATGGGGAAATGACGAGAGGGAAATCGACACAAAAATCCGATGAAGTTAAATATTACAATTCCGGTTTAAAAACCGGATCTTTCTTGAGTAAACTTGAAACTTCAATCTTTTAGGATGCAAAAAAAGTTTAAAATGGTTTATTTCTTGAAGTCGATTTGTAAATAATAGAACAAAATCATCTTGAATTCGTGGATTCGTTTTTGAAGAAATTCTAGTCAAGTCTTTTTCCGAGAACTCTCTTTCCAACCTTAGCAAAAATATCAGCCAATTTTATGGACGTTTAAATCGAGGATTTGTCTTTCAGCCCGACGACCATCCAATCCCACCCGCTCTCCCGAGTGCCATCAAATTGAGAGATCCCGATGGAAGCAGTATCACACACATTGTTCACGGTTTTTTACTGGTTTACCCTTACAAGGGAAAATCAACTGAGAGAGCTGGCGAAATGCTATGCGACCTATACCATTTGACACAGAATTTGATGTTGTCCAGTTTATCAAAAGATCTGGGAAGAATTCATGGCTTGACTTTTAAGAAATTGCAGTCAGACTTTTTCCGAGAACTTTCTTTCCAACCTAATCGAAGTATTAAAGTTAATAGTAATACGAAGAATTTGTCAATCTTGAAACTCGAAACATCGATTTTCCTGCTTATCTATCCGTAATAAAAATGATTGTTGTAGAATTAAATTCGCCCGTGTTTCTCCAAGGTTGCCCACATTGAAACATGCATTTTAAAATCTGTTTTTTACAATTTTTTACAATTCTTTACAATCTTTTACAATTTTCAATTCATTTTCAAGTCAATTTTTACGATTCTGCGACTAGGTTTAAGCTTCAATTGAATTGGACTCCATTTGAAATTGAACTCAAATTAAAGCTAAGAAAGCTTCACGAGAATTGTCCAAATTGAAACTCAAATTTCCACGATTTTTTCACTATTTGGAAAATGTTCAAATCTGATTTTATGATGAAGAAAATGAAAGCTATTAGTTTTAAAAAAAGTTGCAAAACTAAAAGCAAAACTAAAAGTTAAAAGCGTGAAGCTAAAAAGTACTAAATCTATCTTTTTACCTGTCGAAACGAGAAGGAAAATAACTGAAAATTGAGCGAGAATTAGTTGGAAGTGATTTTTTTTTATTTTAGTTAAGAGTACATAAAATTTTCGTTTAAAAATGAGTAAACAAAGAGTTTTTGACATTGGCAAGTTGTAATTGAGCTGAAAAGCGTTTCATTCACATTTTTCTTTCCCATTTCACGACTACAAATAACAAAAGCTTCAGTCTGAAAGTTTAACAAAATTTCTTTCTACAGAAGTTGCCGTAGTAGCTGTTGAAATGGCGAGGAATGTAAATGAAATTTTCCTAGCTATTGGATTGATGAATTGAAAACTGCGAGCTATTGTCATATGTGACAGTTTGAGCACTTTCTTCAAAAGAAACCCATTTTGGTTTCAATGGAAAAGTTGTAGAGAATCAAAAATGAAGCTTATATCAAAAACAACTGCCGAGGTGTTCTTTGTGTGCATGCGTAATCGATCGCCATCCGTCAAATTGTTCTGGTATAGAAGGATTCCCTTTTGAACTATTGGATTGATGAATTGAAAACTGCGGGTTATTGGCATATGTCGCCGTTTGAGCACTTTCTTCAAAAGAAACCCATTTTGGTGTCAATGGAAAAGTTGTAGAGAACCAAAAATGAAGCTTATATCCAAATTTTCAGAACGATTCAAAAACTGGTTTTCAAGGAATGCCAAATTTACAAATTTTCACAAAACTTGCATTTTAAGCGAAACTACTAAGTGTGTCTTTTTGGAACTTTGGCTATAAGCCTCATTTTTGATTCACTACAACTTTTCTATTGACACCAAAATGGGTTTCTTTTGAAGAAAATGCTCAAACTGGGTCACTGGGACATCTCCAGTCCTCCATTTTTGAGTCTCACACTTGTCTCACCCACAAACCAAAGTCCTACTACGAAAGAGGAATCCGCAAATTGCCTGTAAAATGGGTAGAAGTCGTCAATAATAATGGAAATTATTTCGAATGAATTGATGGTTTTATGTTGAATAAATTTTAGTTCAAAGTCCGGCAGTTTTCAATTCACCAACCCAATATTATGTAATTGAGCTAAAAACTAAAACTCACAGTTGATAACTCTTGAAGAAATCCTGTTGTGGTCGCGTCTCGAAGAGGGCAGTTTCGTGGGAATTTGAAGGGAATAAGGTGATGAGAAGGAGAGAAGAAAAAACGGGGAAAATGAAGAGGAATCGATGGGGGAAAATCGAGGGGAACATGGCAGAGATCGTTGGGGTACCTGGAAATTCAAGGCCTTTGGTAAGGTGAGCAGAAAAGAAATGAGAAAAAGAGTCTATCGTAATCAGAGCCGGGAATAATCGTGGTGATTTCAGAGTTTCAAAGTTCTTGAGGTCAACGATTGTTCGGGAAATCTATTATGCTATCTAATAATATGCTTTTGAAATGTCAAAAAGGTGAATTCTCTATTATAATCAGATGGCAATTGGCA